CTGTGACTTGACTTGCCTCATGAAGATCAGCTTAGACTTGACTTGACTCATGAAGATCAGTTGTGACTTGATGGGTCTCCTGAGGATCAGCTGTGACTTGACTTGACCCATGACAATCAACTTTGACTTGACTTGACTCAGGAAGATCAGCGGTGACTAGACTAGGCTCATAATAATGAACAGTGACTTGACCTGACTCATAATAATGAACTGTGACTTGACTTGCCTCATGAAGATCAGCTTAGACTTGACTTGACTCATGAAGATCAGTTGTGACTTGATGGGTCTCCTGAGGATCAGCTGTGACTTGACTTGACCCATGACAATCAACTTTGACTTGACTTGACTCAGGAAGATCAGCGGTGACTAGACTAGGCTCATAATAATGAACAGTGACTTGACCTGACTCACGAGGAACAGCTGTGACTTGACTTGCCTCATGAAGATCAGCTGTAACTTGAGAGTCAATGAAAATGGGAAGGGTGACCTCTGATGGTTAGCCGAAGGAGTTCATGGACCGGATTCGTGACAATTATAATGCCTTAAGAATACCTTTATAATGTATTATAAATACAGGCTTCATAGAAAGTGTTACCTTTTTTTCAGCACACACAGAACAGACAGCTAGCAAATACCTACACAATTGTGTGTTGTTGTTTCACTTAAGCTGGCATGAAATGAAAATTCACCTTATCTATTTTCAAAATGCATGTTATATGTATTATTATAAATTATTATTTCAAGCATTTTTTATTTTTATTTATTTATTTTATTTTTGGGACCTCATCATTTTTAATAAAAATGTTATAACTGGATTTTCCAGTGAAATGGCAGACTTCTCTCTGATGACATATGCAAGAATTCAACCATTTAGTCCACTTAAACCCACCCCTGCAAGCTCACATTCATCTACCTCCACTTTTGAGTGAGATGTTGAGTTGTTTTTTAACCATAAAATGAAAGTCAGTAGGGTCAAGTATTGTTTTGGACTCCATTGACTTTCAATACATAGACAAAAACAACTGAAACATTCTTCAAAATACTTTTATAAACCTTTAAAGTAAGCATGACATTTCTAAATCTATTTTCTAAATGCATGTTATACATGTTTCTTTTTGTTGTTACTGTTGTTTCTTCTCTCTGGTGACAGATGCAGGACTAATTTAGTAATAATTTATTCCGCTTAATCCCCACTCCTTTCTTACAATCAACTACAAGCTTGCATTCAGATCTGCCCCTATCCAACCAATAACCCATGCATAGAACCAAGATCCTTCCCTACATTTTATCCTTGTGGGAGATGGATGTCACAATACAGAAGAAAAGCTCTGAGGCTACTTTTTCGCTAGCCCCAAACCCATTTCACATACTGTAACTCCAGCATCTTGCAAGCATTTGAATCCAGACCTTGTGAGAGCTTACGCAGCCACAAGGCATGCTGGGTAATGTCGGGTAATGCCACTAATGTTAGTTTGGTTAAAAATGGCTAACACAAAGTGGTTTACGTTGTTGGCATCCATGTTTCTTGCGGTGAAATGTTAAAATGTTGCTATGGCTATTTTAACAATGAGCAACAACTCTATTCTGTACAAACATGGAATGATATTTAGGAGATTTCTCACACCAATAAATTGCTCTATTGTCTCTCCCAAAACTACAGTATGCCTATAACTCATATGATTCATTTACTTCTGAAGCTCTTGCAGCATGTGCAGTGTTCATATTTTAATGTTAGTTTGTGTGGTTAAAGCAGAGCATGTATAGTCTTTCATTTGAAATGGGTGAGCCCAGAGAAAAATGCTTACATATTTTCGTTTAAACCACACTTCACTGTTATATTTTGCCATATAGCTGCAACGGAGCAAAACCAACTACCAAACTATTAGAGGGTTTGTTAACTGACAGAAAACCTAAAAGCTTTTGAAATAGTTTTTATTTGTTTGAATTGTAGAGACTGAAGGATACACTGCCTTCATTGAAATGTCAGGAAGCAGCCACACACTTCAAATGGACTCCGACATCTCTTCAAGGAGAGGTTTTCCGTGTCAGCACAATCTGATTGCTCACTCCACTTGATTCTGTGACTTCATTTCTAAGCTTAATAAGAACATGATGTTAATCCAGTGGCTTGATCGGGTTCGACGGCCCTTATTGATCACAAAAGTCCATAACGTCTGCCTTTTACGCTGACAAAGCTACCAAGCTATGCATTTACTCTCTTCCTCTCTGATATTCCAAAATGGACAATAAAAGTTTCCATCTTGTAGGATCAGGCTATTTTAATGGTCTAAAGCTATATGCATACAGTAATTCTCAATTAGCTGTAGACCAGTGACCTTAACCCCTAGTAAACATTCCATCATTGCACATGGCTGCCGATAACTGGTGGCTTACATCACCCATTAATGCCTATCCATCAATGTTGTTTATGCTGTCTCTTTACTCTTGGCGAGGACTCAATCTAATTAAACATTCAAATCTAGAAGCACCACGGTGCCAAATACATAAATATGTGCCTCACTCAGAGGGGTAACTGAAGTATTAGACATTTAGAATAATGAAATGTGACCATATATGCATTGGCACTAACAGCAGCCCCATTTGCCTAATTACACATTGAGGACATCATCGGATCCCTTGTAATAGACAATGGACCTTTTTCACATTTCCGGGGTTCTCAGCAGTAGAAGTCATCATAGTTGGGTAAACTTCTATAGCAGTGAATGGGGGACTACCACAAATAATTTTTTTTGCATTCTCTTTTGCTCAAATAGCAAATGAAAAAGTCCGTGATAGTGTTTTCATAACTTTAAAAAAAAGGGGTGGATAGAGAGAGACTGATAACAGCAGTCAGTAGAGAGAACAATGACAAATTTACCATCAGTAGTTAAGGTTTTTTTTTTTTTTGTTATTTAATGCAAAGGTAATATAATACAATGTATAGTGTTATAAATGTACATACTTTTTTTTTTTAATGAAGATACAAAAAACTTTGGAGAGGGGCTGGCTCCAGGCATGGACAGGGTTGGGCTAAGCCCACCCAAATGACAGGGTTGGGCTAAGCCCACCCAAATGACAGTCTTGCCCACCCATTCAGAATTGGATAACGATTGAGTTATTTTTTATGCAGTGATTAAAACCAATCTGAAGTGGACTGTATTTTAAGAAGTTTAAGATATAGTTGGAGACTGTCACGGTGCAGGGTGCCTTCTCGGCTTCCCCTGCGGTCTGTGTTGTCCTGTCATGTTCGGTAGCTCGTGGTCTGGGCAATCAGCGCTGATCTCGCAGCGGGGGTTCGCGGATCACAAGCTGACTCTCCCCCACCTGTCGCTCATTCCCCCACTCACTTATATGTCTCTGCCTGTCTGTCCTTTGTCGTGAGTAGATTGTTTTGTCCTTGCTCGTGTCTTTGTGTGACTTGTGTGTGCAAGCATCAGTGTCTGACCCTCTGTTCTCCTGTGCTCAAGGACTCGTAATACGGAGATCCGGCAGCTCGAGTGGTCCACAGTGTCTGCCGGCCAGCTCTGGAATCTCCGCTCACTTGAGCAGCAGTTAACTATTGTTTATGTTATTTTGTGTTTTGTGGCGAGAATAAAGACCCTCCTTTCTCACTACTCTGAATCTGAGTCCTCTCTCTATCCCAGACCCTGACAGAATCTACTCACCATAAATGGATTCAGCAGAGGAGACGGAGTTGCGCCGAGCCCTCCCGCAGCTGGGCTCTCTTCTGGGGCGACAACAGGAGGAACTTGCGGCTTCTCGTCGCGCTTACTCTGAGATTTCTCTCCAACTCAACCAGCTGGCAGAACGTCTGGACCAGCTGCAGGCCAGCTCTTCGGCAGCCCGGGCTGGCACACCCATGCCTGGCTCTGAAGGAGCCATTCCTCGCCACGCGGAACCGCAGCTTAATCCGCCTGCTCCATACTCGGGTGAGCCCAACTCATGTCGGTCATTCCTGTCCCAATGCTCACTGACTTTCACTCTCCAGCCTTCTTGTTTCCCCACGGAGCAATCCAGGGTAGCGTTCGTCATCACGCTCTTGGTGGGTCAAGCGAGAGAGTGGGGAACGGCCATGTGGGATAGCGAGCATGACTGCTGTTTGTCCTTTGAGGCATTCTCGAAGGAGTTGCGCAAGGTGTTCGATCGCTCGGCGCGGGGAATTGAGGCGGCACGAGCCCTGTCGCTGCTCTAGCAGGGACAGCAGTCCGTGTCCGGTTACTCAATTGAATTCTGCACGCTCGCCGCATCCTGCGGCTGGAATGAGAAGGCACTCTGGGATCACTTCCTCCACGGCCTGGCTGAGCATGTGAACGACGAGATCTATTCCCTTGAGCTGCCTTCTGGCTTGAATGGATTGGTCGATCTCGCCATTCGGGTCGACGACTGGATGGCTCTCCGTTCCTGGCACCGCAGAAGGGGAATTCCCCGCGAGCACGTCACTGGGGCGGAGTTAGTAGCGGCATGTGACACGCTGTCTTAACGCTGTCTCAACGCCTCATCCTCCCAGATGAGGAGCCCATGCAAGTCGGGAGAGCACGGCTGACCATAGGGGAGCGACGGCGTCGCCTGGCCAATCAGCTTTGTCTCTACTGCGGGGAGGCGTGCCATGTTGCAGCGGCGTGCCCTGTTGCGGGGCGATGCTTATCACGCAGGGGAGAGCGCATGGTGAGCGTCACTACTACTCAACTGCCATCTGGTGGCCGGTCAGAGTTTCAAGCTTCATTACAGTTTGGGGGAGCTGTCTTCCAAGTTTCCGCTTTAATCGACTCTGGAGCGGAGGGCGACTTCATGGATTCCAGATTGGCTACACATCTGGGGATTTCGTCCGTTGCCCTGGCCGAACCTATTTCTGCCAGGACCCTTTGTGGCACCCATCTCACTAATATTACCCACGTTACTAAGTTTGTTATGCTAACCTTGTCTGGTAATCATGCCGAGGAGATCCGATTCCTCCTTATTCATTCGCCCACCGCTCCAGTGGTGTTGAGTCACACCTGGTTGGTTAAATATAACCCCCATATTGATTGGGCTTGCGGGTCTATTTTGGCTTGGAGCCCTTTCTGTTTAGCTCAGTGTTTAGGTGCTGCATTTTCCCCAGTCTTGTCTTGTTCTGTGTTGCAGGAGGAGCCGGTGAGCCTGGCGGATGTACCAGAGGCTTACCATGACTTGAGAGTGGGTTTCAGTAACTCCCGAGCTTCATCTCTGCCTCCGCATCGCCCGTACGACTGTGCGATTGACCTGTTGCCTGGCACTTGTCCACCTAAGGGGCGCCTATACTCTCTGTCTGGTCCAGAGAGAGAGAGACCATGGAGAGGTATATACACGATTCTCTGGTAGCAGGCATTATCCGTCCCTCTTCCTCTCCAGCTGGGGCGGGGTTCTTCTTTGTGGAGAAGAAGGATGGTTCGCTGCGCCCCTGCATTGACTATCGGGGGTTGAATGACATCACGGTAAAGAATCGTTATCCTTTGCCGTTGATGTCATCGGCCTTCGAACTCTTGCAGGGGGCAACCATCTTTACGAAGTTGGACCTCCGCAGTGCTTCTCACTTGGTTCGGATTAGGGAGGGGGACGAATGGAAGACCGCCTTTAACACCCATACGGGGCATTTTGAGTATTTGGTTATGCCTTTCGGGCTTTCTAACTCACCGGCGGTCTTTCAGGCACTCGTCAACGACGTGCTCAGAGACATGGTCAATCAGTTTGTTTTTGTTTACATCGACGACATCCTGATCTTTTCCCAGAACGAGCGCGAGCATGTCCAGCACGTCAGGCGAGTGCTCCAGTGGCTGATGGAGAATCGTCTATTCGTCAAGTTGGAGAAGTGTGAGTTTCACGCACGGTCGGTTCCGTTCCTGGGATTTATTCTCTCGCCTGAAGGTATCCGAATGGATCTCGCCAAGGTAAAGGCTGTTGCTGATTGGCCCACCCCAGATAGTCGTAGAGCGGTCCAGCGTTTTTTGGAGTTTGCCAATTTTTACAGGCGGTTCATTTGGAACTTTAGCCAGGTCACCCTTCCTCTGACTGATCTCACGTCCACTAAGAAACAATTATGTTGGTCAGCGTAGGCCCAAACTGCGTTTGAGACCTTAAAGAGTCGATTTATTTCGGCTCCTATTTTAACCACCCCTGACCCGTCTCGTCAGTTCATTTTGGAGGTGGATGCGTCCGAGGTGGGGGTTGGGGCAGTTCTGTCTCAGAGATCAGCTTCAGACGAGAAAATACATCCCTGCGCTTTTCTTTCCCATCGTTTAACCCCCGCGTAACGGAACTACGACATCGGGAATAAGGAGTTACTAGCTGTCAAGCTGGCGCTGGAGGAGTGGCGCCACTGGTTAGAGGGAGCGGGTTTTCCGTTTATCGTTTGGACTGGCCACAAGAATCTGGAGTATATCCGCCAAGAGAATAAATTCCAGGCAGGCTCGCTGGGCATTATTTTTTGGACGTTTCAGGTTTACCATTTCTTATCGCCTGGGCTCTAAGAATGGTAAACCTGACGCGCTGTCGTGAATCTTTGAGGCTGAGCCTAGTCCCACCCTCCCCGTGGCTATTCTGCGTCCCGAACGGGTTGTGGCGGCGGTCACCTGGGGGGGGGAGTCCAAGGTCCGCACGGCGCTACGCAACGTTTCTGTTCCCGCGGGATGCCCAGAGGGTCTGCTCTTCGTGCCCGAGTCAGTCCGAACTAGCGTCCTACAGTGGGGCCACTCTTCTAGCCTAGCTTGCCACCCTGGAGCGACTTGCACTTGTAGGTTAATCAAGTAACGGTTTTGGTGGCCGTCTGTGTCGCGGGATGCTCGACGGTTTGTGATGGCCAGTCCGATTTGTGCTGCAGGTAAGGGCTCCAATCGACCCCCAGCAGGGCTACTCCAGCCGTTGTCGGTCCCTTCGCGGCCCTGGTCACACATAGCAATGGACTTTGTTACTGGCTTGCCTCCGTCTAGTGGCAAGTCAGTAGTTCTCACTGTGGTGGACAGGTTCTCAAAGGCAGCCCATTTTATTCCCCTCCCCAAATTGCCTTCAGCGAGGGAGACAGCGACGATTGTCTTAGATCACGTTTTTCGCATTCATGGCCTCCCGGTGAACGTGGTTTCTGACAGGGGTCCCCAGTTTGTGTCTAAGTTTTGGACAGGGTTCTGGGAGCGACTGCGAGCCTATCCTCCGGATATCACCCGCAGACTAAAGGTCAGGCCGAGCATGCCAACCAGGATTTGGAGAGGGTTCTGCGCTGTGTGGCGTCTGTTGAACCGTCATCTTGGAGTTCCAGGTTAACCATGGTCGAGTACGCACATAACTCCCTCCCGGTCTCGTCTACGGGTTTATCTCCCTTCCAGTGCTGTTTAGCCTACCAGCCACCATTATTCCTCTCCCAAGAATCCGATGCCGTTGTTCCTTCCGCGTATGCATTTATTCAGAGATGCCTCCTTACATGGAGGATCACCAGAGAAGCCCTCACTCGGACTGGCGAGAGGAACAAGGCGTCGGTGGACCGTCACCGTACTAAGCCCCCACTTTACGTGTGTGGTCAGAGAGTCTGGTTGTCCAGGTTAACCATGGTCGAGTACGCACATAACTCCCTCCCGGTCTCGTCTACGGGTTTATCTCCCTTCCAGTGCTGTTTAGCCTACCAGCCACCATTATTCCACTCCCAAGAATCCGATGCCGTTGTTCCTTCCGCGTATGCATTTATTCAGAGATGCCTCCTTACATGGAGGATCACCAGAGAAGCCCTCACTCGGACTGCTTTGGTCTTTGCGTCGTCGGTGGACCGTCACCGTACTAAGCCCCCACTTTACGTGTGTGGTCAGAGAGTCTGGTTGTCGTCTAAGGACATCAACTTCAGACTGCCCTCACGTAAACTGGGACCCAAATTTGTTGGACTGTTTATGATCACTAAGGTGCTCAGTCCGGTGTCGGTGCGACTCTAATTAACCCCGCAGCTTAAAAGGATCCACCCGGTTTTCCATGTTTCCAAAATCAAACCCGTCTTTCGCGCCCCCCTTCAGCCCTTGACCTCCACCCCTCCGCCTCCCAGGCTTATCGAGGGGTCGCCAGCCTATACTGTGTGGTGGCTCATTGATGTGAGGCGTAGGGGTAGAGGTCACCAATACCTGGTAGACTGGGAGGGGTATGGTCCGGAGGAGAGATGTTGGATTCCGGCTCACGGCATTCTGGATCGCGCTCTCATCGATCTGTTTCATCAGCGTCATGGTAGGTCCTCCTTATATGTCTCTGCCTGTCTGTCCTTCGTCGTGAGTAAGACAAGGCAAGGCAAGGCAAGTTTATTTGTATAGCACATTTCATACACAATGGTAATTCAAAGTGCTTTACATAAAATAAAATAAAAACAATAATCACAACAATAAAACAAGGAATTTAAAGAGTAGATTGTTTTGTCCTTGCTCTTGTCTTTGTGTGACTTGTGTGTGCAAGCATCAGTGTCTGACCCTCTGTTCTCCTGTGCTCAAGGACTCGTAATACGGAGATCCGGCAGCTCGAGTGATCCGCAGTGTCTGCCGGCCAGCTCTAGAATCTCCGCTCAATTGAGCAGCAGTTAACTATTGTTTATGTTATTTTGTGTTTTGTGGCGAGAATAAAGACCCTCCTTTCTCACTACTCTGCATCTGAGTCCTCGCTCTATCCCAGACCCTGACAGAGACTGCCCCAACAATAATAAAATAACACCAGAAAATTGCAGCATTATTCTTTTATTAGCTGAATGCAAGGCGTGCTGAATTCACGAGGCTTCAGTCTGTTGCAGAAAAGCAGAGGCTGACAACGAGTGAAAACGGGCAGAAATATTTGCGCGCTATCAC